GTCAAGTCTTTCTTGTTCTAGCCTCTAAAATTTGTTTACTTGCTTTGGTCGGTATTTCTTTGGGGTTTTGTAATAGAAAGTAGTTTCTAATTGATTAATCATCAATGTTTAGTAAAGTGATGCACAAATTTGATACACAACATTTTATCTTCAAAATGGTCCACGTTCAACACACATGTGCACCAATTAGTGTGTGTGTGTGCGTATGTCTATATATATATATATTAAATGGGTAGGGGTGATTATTTAGGTTTAGTGTGACATTAAATTTAGAAGATAAGCATGGTATAGTTGAAGTTCTGGAGGNGCGCCTATATATATATATATTAAATGGGTAGGGGTGATTATTTATGTTTAGTGTGACATTAAATTTAGAAGATAAGCATGGTATAGTTGAAGTTCTGGAGGGTAAAAGTGAAAAAAATTATTTTTCTTGTATGCTGATATTTTAAAGTAGTATATAGATTTGATTTTCATTTCTTTCCTCAGAATGAAATCATATGGTTCTTGCCTCCTTTTATTTGTCTCAATTATTTTGTAAATAGCTCCATAGGATGCCACCTGATGGGCTTCTCGATATATACTCAAGGGTTTATGGTGCGTTATTTTATTGATTATGAAACATCAAGAATTTTTTTGCGCCTTCTTATGGATATGTTCTTGTACATTTTTCATTTAGGACTTTGTATATGTTTTATGACTGCAGCTGTAATAATCCTATGTTGCATATGAGGTGGTGGACAAAATAGTACTTATGTATGTGTTGTACATTAATTGAAACTTGTATATATGGTGGGAAAGACTTTTAGGTTGAATTCATTTGGTTGTTAATTTCATTTTCTAATTTGCTCATTAAACCAAAGAGAAACATAATTGATAACTAGCGAATGTATATATGGTTGAAGCTTTTTATTTCACTTTGGTCTGGTTATAGGCACTTTAAGAATAAACATTTGNATGTGTTGTACATTAATTGAAACTTGTATATATGGTGGGAAAGACTTTTAGGTTGAATTCATTTGGCTGTTAATTTCATTTTCTAATTTGCTCATTAAACCAAAGAGAAACATAATTAATAACTAGCGAATGTATATATGGTTGAAGCTTTTTATTTCACTTTGGTCTGGTTATAGGCACTTTAAGAATAAACATTTGCTCAAAGTCCTTTCTCTGATTACACGTTGGATGGAAAAACATATCTTTTTGTTTCCTTCCCTTTCTTTATAGGATTTTGGTAAGTGTGAAAATTAAATATTTCCTACGCTCTGTAAGTTGTAGTCTATCTAGCTAAAGCAATAGTTAACAAAANAACATTTGCTCAAAGTCCTTTCTCTGATTACACGTTGGATGGAAAAACATATCTTTTTGTTTCCTTCCCTTTTTTTATAGGATTTTGGTAAGTGTGAAAATTAAATATTTCCTACGCTCTGTAAGTTGTAGTCTATCTAGCTAAAGCAATAGTTAACAAAAACAACAACTCACATCACTTGCTTGTACAAGATAACCACTTGTACTTTTTAATTCAAGAAAAAATTATTTGTGAGCTTGACACAAAATTAAAACAGAAAAATGTGCATCACATTCCACATAACAAGGTTCCAATGAATTGATTGATGTTGTATAAGTTACAAAAATTTTAACTAATGTGGNAGCAACAACTCACATCACTTACTTGTACAAGATAACCACTTGTACTTTTTAATTCAAGAAAAAATAATTTATGAGCTTCACACAAAATTAAAACAGAAAAATGTGCATCACATTTCACATAACAAGGTTCCAATGAATTGATTGATGTTGTATAAGTTACAAAAATTTTAACTAATGTGGCAGCGTTATTGCCATGGAAAATTTGTCTATAAAGTTTTTCCTAATAAAAGTGGAGATCTTGTGAGAGTTCAAATGCCATTCTTTTTAATATTGGTCTAACCAATATTGACTATGTTGAATCATGTCAATTTTGTTGATAATAGAATTTCTAATCTTCATCAAAAGGGGCTTCTTTCAATTGAGTGTCTATGGATGTGTTGGCATAATTACCGTCATCCTTGGAAATGACACATAAGCTATCTACATTCTATCTAGAAATGGTGTCATATCTTGCAACGAATTGCACCGACTATAGTAGTTTGAAGCGTAATGCTTTAGCTACAGTAGATGATGTTGAGTGATTTCCTAAGAGCCGCTGCATTTCTTGGTTGCATCTGTGCCAACGTGATTTTTGAGTGAGATCTAAACTCAAATTTTGGGTGGGTTTCCTAAGTGTGTTATAAACAAGTTGATATAAAAAAGCTTGTTAAAAATGGTATACAACTTTAGTATAAAATATTTATATTTAAATTGGTCACGTGCAACGCATGTGTGCATGTACTAATTCTTAAAAAATGGCAGTGATTTTTTTTTTCCACTAATATTATTGCGATATAATTTAAAGACATAATTTGAAGAGTTAATATATTATAATCATTGAATTGATAGCGTTGGAACCTAGTGATATTTTAATGTTGGGACTACTGACACTTTAATAATCACAATTATTAAGTTTTTAAATTATGTTTCAATAACATTATTATTATTTTTTTAAATCCTATTAAATGTAAGAACCGGACTCCAAAAAAACACTCTTAGCCTTAAAGGGTTCCGGATTTGTGGGTGGAAAAAAAAAAAGCATAATAGCAGTCACATGGAGTTGTTTCAGTCGGCTAATGATGGTAACTTCATCTACACACAACATGTTCACGAAACCCTAATTATTCAGTCCCCCCCTTCTGGTGCCCATATTCATGGCATGCGTATGGATGACCTTTGACTTCACCTGCGACTCCTTTCTTTCTCTCTCTCTCTCTCTCTCTCTCTGTGGAACCCTCCACATTGAATCTCAGTCAGACAGAAACATTAAATTCTGAATTTTTTTTCTCTTAGGATTCCTTTTTCTCTCTCTCACACACACAAACAGAGAGCAAGAGAAAAGACTGAGGTCAATGAGTTGAGAAGACACAATCAATGAGCATGTCATTCGAAGGGAAACTTTGATTGCTTGAAAGGGACTCAGAAGCTTGACTTCACCACAAGTAAATGAACTATCTACACAATTATCCATATTAATACGACAACTCTTACCTTCCTTCACTATTTCGAACCCAACCCATGACTTGAGGCAATATAACCAGGCCACCTTGTTCTTGAAATATACTCCAAAACGAAATACAAATTCCTTCTACGTTGCCTTTTGTTCTTGGTAGCTTCCCAGTTCACCAGCGTCTGTTGGCAGGCCAAGGTCTCAATTAGACAGGAAAGATCAATTTCTGGTAGGTATTTTGCCAGATTAAAAGAGCTTTTGTGTTCCATGTAATTTTGAGGCCAAGTGCTGTCCATTGCATTTCGGCATTTACGCTTTGTTTTGCTATATCTTCGTTGCTTATGATTCATCTCAAGCAAAGATTTTCTTGAAGTTACATAAGTAAAGCCAAGTTCAATTTCGCTGTCCGTACTTTGTGTTAAAGGTAGTTTTTCAATTATATTAGTTAAATCTTTTGGAAATTAAAAAAATACATACACTTACAAAATACAATAGGTATCACCAACGGTAATTTTGTAACCCATACAAAACGTGGGAGCTCGAAGGGTGTAGCATTATGAAGGAAGTAAATGCCTTGAACTGATACTTCCTACGAAAATAAAACTTGGGCTGAAGCACTAGATTATTTAGTTTATTTCTCTTCACTCACGGTTTTATTTTTTATGACAGTTTGCCAACGAGTTTGAACTATTCCTGATCAACATGCCTATGTTCCCTCTACTGCTCACGACTTTTAGTCTGTCAATTAGTATTATTTCATGTTTAAGGCTGACTAGCTTTTTTTGCAATGATCAACTGTTGCAGTTTCTGTCTGAGGTTCAACTTTCTTGAGGAAGATGAAACAGTTTCATGGTAGTTATTTCAGCCCACTTGACCAATCACTCGTTATTGTGCGGTTCTAGGCATTATGAGCTGTATGATTACCGGTGTGACCTTTTTAGGTTCTAAATACTTCCATTAATTACGGGTGCTAATACTCTCTGTGTCATAAAAAAGTCTTTTTTTTTTCTTTTCAATAGTCGTAGTCAAATTCTTTTTTCTCAGGCTTTTTTCTGAAAAAAATATTTGAATTTTGAAGATCCCTAAAGCAAAGCAATTCTAGAAATATTGTGAACAAGTTAATCGCTTCAAAGTAATGTTTTGTTGATGGACCATACAAAAAAGAGGAATCTTTTTCGGGAGGTAAACTTAGTTTCTAAGCAAAAAAATTAACTGCCCCAACAGAAATACCTTGGCAGCAACTTCAGTTTGCTTGCTTGCCTGCCAACAAGATAGCTAGCAAGTGATTTTTGTCATTCTCTTCTGCATGCATTTGGTTGAGTGGACCGTCTGTTCAATGGTTAATAAGATTCAGTTCAATAACTTAGAAATTGCGAGTTCTAATCAAAAGAGAGAGACTTTCTGTAACTAATGTCAAATGCTCGGACTGTACCCCATTATTTTCGTCTCAGATTTCATTAATGCCGACTAAATTGGGTATTATTTACTTCGGCATGCATTGGATTGGTCCAATCTCAAAAAATAATATATAGTATCAGTATGTGTGTAGGACTTGTTTCTCTGACTGTCTCTCAAGGTTGAGCTTCGTTCTATTATATTTTTTCAGAAATAAACTTCATCAAGCTAAGAGAAAAATTACTAGGCAATCCATAACATCAGAAATTTCATTCTTTCTTCCTCTTCATGACATCCAAAGGATGTGTGAAGGGGAAAAGGCAGTAGGGTGGTCTAACGGGGTATTAGTCTTACTCCTCATCTTGAGGTTGGGAGTTCGAATCTTGGAGTTTTCATTGGGACTTGGTGGTTGGCCGCTATACTAGCCTAATTAGATCTGATATCAAAAAGTGTTTCAAGCACGGTCAAGGACCTTATGATCCCATCGGTGAAGAAAAAAAAAAAAAAGGGGGGGGGGGAAAGGCGGGAAAGCAGCTACCTAGAAAAAGAATGTAGAAATGAAAAATAGTATAACAATACAGAAATGTAAACACTTACTGCAATCAGACCACAGGTTGACTATTCATACAATACAGAACATAGGCTACCGCCCCATCACATATAAACAAAGCTGTGATTCCAAGTCTCTCAAGCAGCAACACTCATCTCCATAGCCCACCTAAAATAGTTCTATATTACTTGAAACCACATTTGACTACCCAGAGGATTAAAAACAGTTAAAGTTATATAGTTTTTGCTTTATTATGTACATTAACCTGAAGGAAAATGACTTCTGTTCTTCTCAATAACTGAAACTTCCTATGATCAATATTTACTGTGTCTTCTTCTACTTTTCAATAAGTTTTCACTTCCAGAGATCAATTTGACTGGTGGAGGTCGACGTTGAGGGATTTTCTGTCACCATTTGTTGCTCGTTCGAATGTCCGACAAGTATACTAGACTGATCAGCCCCATGAAAGGCGTTTGCAGCATCTGAGTAGCTATTTCCCTTTGAAACATCTTCTTGACTGAGTTGAGAAGCAACAAACTTGTCTAGAACTCTCCAATCTTTCGCCTGATCTACTGCCTGCTCATTATTATTCCCACCAAAGATCAAATGAAGGTTTTGCTCATGGGTTCGCTGAACATGTTCTTCTTGGGAGAGTGATGAACACTGCAAAGCGCTTCCATGGTTCATGTTAAGGCCATATACAGGCATGGAGTTGCAGTTCATGGTGGTTGGTGTTTGCAAAAGCTTTGGACTCTCTAGAAGAGGAAGCTGAAAGAAGTGATCAGATTGAATTGGGTACTGCAATGCTAGCTCTTTCTTGCAGGAATAAGGATAGTGGTAAGTGAGATTGGACTGTGAGTTTTGCTGTGGGGAGCCCATATCTGGCATGAATGAAACTTGATCGTCGTACCAAACGGGTGATTCGTGCTCACTGATTTTCCTCATGGAAATTATTCTCTTCTTGAATACTCTGCAGACAACCCAACCTTCTTCCTGCTTTGAGTTCAGGAGAACTGTGTAAGTTTGCATGAAAGTGCTTCAACTAGAGGGAATGGTAAATGAAAGATCATGTCAAAAGCAACAATTAGTTTCATTGTAAAAGGATGTGAAGCCTTGGATGTCTTATAGAACCGTCATACTCTATGCACAAGGTAACTCGCATGTGACAAGATGTGAGAGAGGTAAGTGTAAGCTGATTGAGTGAGAGATATGTGTAGGCAGATTGAGTGAGTAATATTCACAGAACAGAAAATTGTTTATGCCTCACTGTGTGGGATGACAGTCAAAAAGAGATTTCGTTCATGATAATGGAGAAGATTTCTAGGTTAGCAAGCTGTGGACTGAGGAATCTTAGGCATACTGCTAATTTTCAACAATATGTACCTATATAATTTGTGCTTTCACTATGTGCTGCAGGGGAAAAAATTGATATTTGTGTTTAAATCAATGGTTTATTTCCATTATCTTTTTTCGTTCACTATACCTTTGTTTCTGATCGCTTCCCTACATCACTATGGTTGCCATTTATTTTTTGGGTAAAATTCTCTTAATTGATAAAAAATTTGGGTTCATAAGACAGATGGAATCTAGGACAGATGCTATAAGATTATCTTCAATTAGCTCAACTGTGAAAAATGAAAAAAAAGAAAAAAAAAAAAGCTTCTATGAACCAGTTTAAGACTTGAAGTATAGTAGTAGTACACCGTGAGAATACTTGCCTGAGGAGTCCCATTTTCATCTGTTTCAAGCCGATACTCATGCATAATCCAATCTGATTTTTGACCATTTGGAGCTCGACCTTTGTAAAACACCAATGTCTTCCTCATTCCAATCAAGTCGTGCTTAGAATAAATAGCCTTGTCTCTTCCTGTTGCTTTCCAAAATCCTGCTGCTGTAGCTCTATTTGTGCGAGTCCCAGTTGGATATTTCTTATCTTTATGGCTGAAGAAATACCAGTCATTTTGCTCTTCTGTTCCTATTCTGCACAGCTCTGTAATGTGTATAATAAACACAATTTAAACACTAAAGATGTAAATCTTTGGTGATTTTGAATAATAGAGATATATTTGGAACCGTTTTGTTCTTGATGATACCTTGAAGATCCCATGGTTCAATTCTGTAAAGATCAACATCTTTAATGACATCTAGGTCAATCCTTCTTGAAGTCACCTTTTTCCTTAGGTAGTAACCAACAAGTTCTTCATCAGTGGGATGGAATCGGAAACCCGGGGGAACGTGTGAAAAAGAATTCATATCTCCAACTTTGAAGCTGAAACCTGCAATTCATGTAGTTGTTTTCAGTATGTGAAATCATTAGTGCTTCCTCTCTTTGATAATGTTTCTTTTTTTTTTTTTTCCTTAGAGTACCTCAACATGAGTAGAATTCGGAATATTAACATAAAATAAATGATGCAGACTTTGAAAGGGTTAATGCTTAGTGGGCAAGAAAGATTGACAAAAGGGTTGATAATCCAAATTGCAACTCAAACCATGTTAGCGTGGACTGGCTCTTCAGTTTGTGTTCAGTCATCCATTTCTGTATTATCTTTTTGTGTGTTTACCCTTGTCGTCAAAATGGATGTTACAATTTGAATATGCAATTGCTTTTTTCTTCTATATATGTAAATTTGATTCTTCTAGGAAAGACGAAAATCAACAATAAATTCTAATTCAAATTCATTCTGAAGTAGGCGATTGACAGTGTAGTTTATAAACTTTCTTATATGTTACCCTGTACATCATTAGATTTATATATCAAAACCAAGCTGAAGTGCATATTTCATAAGTATTGTTGTAGTTATGCACCAAATCCATGGGGTGACCTCCGGTCTTTCTTTTTTCTCAGAACGAAAATGGTTTCTATTAATTGAAGAAAGAACCATAACATACAGACTAATGAGTAATACCCTTGCAAAATACAGTAGGCATCACCTATTGTATATGTTGTAAAAGATCATAACGAAAGCACAGTAGCTGATGAGAAGTTGAATTCAAAAGGAAGTAAAGGCCTTGAGCCAATACTTCCAGCTCAATCCTCCCCCCTTTGAGCTTAATTTTTCAGATAATAAATTAATCAACTTACTAAAAAAATCTAAGTTGAACATAATTTCAGAAAAATTTCTCCCTCGGATGACAGATCAATTACTAAAATCCAGGTATCATATGCCATAAGAGCTTGCATAAGAGTGTCAGATCTTGGCTTCGATTGGTATTATTTGGCCAGGAAAGGAACACATAAAAATCAGGGAAAATCAATGATTTGCACCATTTTCTCACTAAACTCTATGGAGTACAAGGACCAATAGGGAGCAAACGTTAAAAAAAAGACATAGAATTGGCTTCTCCAAAAGAATAAGAAGGTTGTTCTTGCTATTCTTTGGAAAGGTTTATAACAAATTCAAAATTTATAGTGTGTGGGCTTGATTACCACAATTTAATAAACTCTTAACGGCTCACGATCTGGGTACATCGATCTCAAACAAGGTGGGTTCGCTATCCAGATCACAAAAATGGACGACTCCAAGTTATAATATTAACTCTAAATCAATTCGCTTTAGAACATGTAGCACAAATATAAAATACATATTAATTGACTAAATGTATATAAATTTATAATTACATATTGTTTTAAATAATAGAAATCAAGTACAATTATAAGAAAAATGATAACTAACTTAGTGTTTATGAATGTTCTATAATATATAATGTTATATAACAATAAAAACAATTTACATAAGAGTTTTAAAACTAATTGCAACCCAAAATATTGTACTAACTAAATCTACCTCCATCGTACCGCGTATCTAAAAAAAATGTGTATCATATACTTATACCCGTATTACATACCAAAACGACTCACAATCTAAGTAACATTAAAGTGCCATAAGAAATATATGTGGCAAAACGAAGAAGTCTATCTTTAATTGAAGCAAATTACCTACACCCTGTAACTACATGATGCACAAATAGGTTTCAACTCTATCCCCCGATTTATAGTTCTTTCAATTCTACCTTTTAATATCCTATAACTTGACAGCATATGTGGAACAGTGGACTCAACCAATTCTCTCCAAAAACGATAGGAGTTGATGTGGGTGTATAATAAATCTGCAAATTTGAGCTATATTAATGCCGACAAGTAAATTAAGAAAGCAACAATTGCTAGATCAAGTTACTAATGCCTTAGAAATGCAACATGAGTATGATAAAGTTGTAGCTCCTCCCATAATCCTGTGCCCTTTCTCCCCCCCCACCCCCAAAAAAAAAAAACCAAAAAAGAAAAGTGGGAAAGAAGTATTTACTAATCACTTACACATGCAAGAATCTTAGTTTGCTGATTTTTTTTAATACCCTGCAGATGACATTTTTTCCTAGTGCAAGGGAAAAAGAGCATTCATATACTGTGACTTGCACTAAGTTTTGTTAAATTTATTCCAGCAAGTTGTAAATTTGAAAAGAAAAAAAGAAGTAATGCCTCATATAATCATGAAAAGTTACATGCATGTGATCATGAAAGATTCAAATGGTTGAATCATCTAGAATAAGTGATCTTACAATACCCTTCCCATGTCTCTATTTTTTCCTCTTTTCACTGCCTCACTCCACGAATAGTTTTTTTTTTTGTTTGCATACACTAATTGGTATAAACTGTTTATCTACATCTTTTGTCTGATTATGTATTAAACATATAATTATGTTGGGATCATCATAGACGTTGTAATTAGACATGCTGTAGCGCTGGAATGCTTGAAAAAATCATGTCATCATTAGCCTTTGGTGAAGAATAAAAACAGATAACATTCATTTTACACATATTTGTGACGATAAACATTGAAAATAAAAGGAGGACTAAAAAGTTACAATAGACATGGAACAAATTGTTGCAATCCATTGTTAGGAAGACTTTTCATGTTTATACATATATAGCTTTTAAATTTTTAAGTCACAAAAACCCTAGCCAAGGTGGAAATGCTCATTAATCACTAGTGAATAAAAAAGCATAGTTTCTTTAGATCATGGATCTGGAAAAACAAGCTCGTGACCTGACCAATCGTCTAAACGCAAAGTAACTCAAGTTTCAAACAGAAAGATCATTTACATAATAAACTCTCTAGCCACGAACCTTTATAAATGGATGGGAAGGTTTATTAGTCACTAGAAAAGAGATGACATTTCTGGAACTCAGATCTGCCAGGGGAAAAAAAAAATCTTACCGAACCCACCCTCCAATGTCAAAGAACATAGAGTCCTCAAGTCTCAAATACGAAGATGAATATATAAAACAAACACGTACAGCAAAAATAGAAAAAGAAGAGATCATGCAAGAACATAGATAGATTCATATATATATATATATAGAGAGAGAGAGAGAGAGCTTACTGGTCAAGTAACAAGGATCAATCCTTAATTTTCCAACCCACTGATCTGGAAAGAGTTAATCTTGTGTGAACTAGCTAGAAAACCTCTTTTTTCCTCTTGGAAAATAAAAGAGCAGACTGAAAGAAGGCGTGTTTCAAGCTCCAAAATTAAAGGAGACTGCTAAATCAGACAAAGAAGACAAGACACAAACAAAAGTACAAAGAACATTTTTTTTAACCTCGGGATTTGAAACCTAAATGTTGTACTTTTACACTGTCTCCAAGGTTGTCTGAGTTGTCGGCGGTTCAGATCCCGAGGAGAGTGCTGGATAGAAAAAGAAAAGGCTGAGAGTGGAAGAAGGGAGAACAGATGGGATTATATAGACACGAAGTGCTGAAGGAGGGAAAGAAAAAAGAGAGAGAGATAGAAAGACAAAGCCTAATGATTATAAGATATGTAAGTAACTTAAATTTATTTGATCTTATGCTTTCATTGTATCTTACTATCAGAGTCAGCTTAATTGCTGGGAAAGTTTTGGGGCGAGCGAAGAGGTGGCGGAAAATTAGCTCACACATAGAGAGAGATAGAGAGAGAGAGAACGCAGATGTGGGCAAACGCCACCTCCACCACCCGCAACTGATAGGGACACTTATAGAGAATGTTCTGTCTCGGAGCCGGAGGTCATGGTATGACTTATAATAGATATAGAGAGAGAAAGTTTGTGTGTTAGGAGAGAGAGAGAAGTAAACGGGAGACGTCAGAGGAACTAACGGCACAGACCAATCACCTTACTCAAAAGCCTCCAGAAGACAAGAAAAAGGACCAATAAAATAAACTATCGTAGGGCTATTTTTGGGGGTGACGTAATAGAACAGTCTCTGCCAAAAGTTAGGCCTCTTTCTTTCTCTCCCTCTCCAAAAGGGGTGAGGTGGCCCTAACAGTCCCCGACTATGTTTCTTTGTCCCTACCATTTGTTGTTCACTACATTAATTAGTTTGGGCTTTGGTTTTTAGATATTTCATGGATAGAACAGAGTTTTGCGCATGATTTAGAACCCATTTAG